AGAAATTGAAAGAGACTCTATGTTGCTTACCAAATAGACAGTGATTGCAAGGATCTAGTGCAGCTTCCTTGGCAACAGTGATTAGCTCCTTCTTTGTCAAAGTAGACAACTCCTTCTCACTCATGTGACCGAGTCTCTAGTGCCACAGATTTTGAGGAGCCTCACGTTCCACTAAATTGAGACCATCCGTACACATTTTTACATGAGTTTTGTATAAAGCGCTACAAATATGTCCTCGAGCGACAACCATGGAACCTTTTATCATTTTCCATGTGCCATTGTTAAAGTGATTAACATAGTCCTGTTTGTCAAGGGCTATCCCCGAAAGAAGATTGATTCGAAGATCTGGCACATGTCGTCCTTCGGGTTTATTTTACACTCGATATTCGTTTGTATCTGAACATCACCAATTCCTATGATCTCAGAAGAATTGGTATTTCCCATATTCACAGCACCAAAGTTGCCAGCTTTATATGTTGTCAAGAAATCTCTACGTGGAATGGCGTGGTAAGATGCTGCAATATCTATCACCCACTCAATATCTTGGTTTGAGACGTGAAGACATGTCTCTTCATGGATGGAACAAATAGCCACCTCCCCAGAAATAGTGACCCGTGTCTCTCCTTACTTATTTTTCGACTGTGAATTGTTGTGGCCTTGCTCTCGTAGCAATTTTTGATAGTTCTTCTTCAAGTGGCCTTCCATACCACAATAGTAGCACTTGTAGGTAGGCTTCCTTCCATCTTTGGATCTACCTCTGCTTTTGCTTCTACCTCTTCCCCTGCCTCGAACGCCTCCTTGCCATCTTCCTCGATTTTCTGTGACAAGGGCATGTGACAGATCTGTGTCAACGTCTTTTCTCCTGGCCTCTTCATTAAAGAGGGCATCCTTGACCATGGACATGGTAATTTTGTCATTAGGGGCTGAGTTGCTAAGAGATACTACTAGTGTCTCCCAATTGTCAGAAAGAGAACTTAAAAGTAATAAGCATAATTATAAAACCCGGACTGGACGGTTGGCCCAAACCCTTGACCGGGCCAGACAGATTAATTTAATCAAAATGCACTTGACTCGGTCAAAATCGGGCTTTGACCGAGTTAATCGGCGATTTACCAGGCCCGATTGACCGATTTGATTTAGTTTTAAAATTCTCTTACAATTTTTTAGGGTCCAACGGAATTGAACCTTGAACCTCTAAGAAAAATAATGGGTTCCTCACCATTTGAGATAGAGTGTTTTAGTATTATTTACGTGCAAATAATTTATATCTATTTAATGAATAATTTATAGGTTTTACAAAAATATTTTTTTTAAAAAAAATTTATTCAACATTTTACTTTATTTTATAGACTTAAATAATTAGTGAAAAATAAATAAAAAATTTTAACAAAATTTATACTTTATATTTTTTTGTAAGTTTTTACGCAATGACCCACCGGATGAACCACCGAGTCACTGGTTGAACCACTAACCTATTGACCCGCTGCATTGTCCGGGACGAATCTGACAACTATGGTAATAAGGCTTGCATTTAATCTCCGAGGGGCATCTCTATAGATGACAATTGGTTCACCAAGCTCTGAAATTCACTGGTGTGCTCAGCAACTGAAGTTCCACTCTTCAATTTCAGATTCACCAAACGCCCCATCAACTGGGCTTTGTTTTGAGCGGTCTTGGCCTGGTACATGTCCTCCAAAGTCTTGCAGAAGGCATATGCATCTATCTCTTGTGCCACATGGTAAAAGACACTATGATCAATCCATTGTCGAATTTGATCGATAGTTTTTCTATTTAGCTTCTTCCACTCCACCTCCTTGGTAGGATCGAGGTTCACACCTTTGGCTTTCAGGGAGTCGTACAAAACTTCACAACCGAGTATGTATTCCATTTGAGACCTCCACAGTGTGTAATTGGTGGTAGTGAGCTTGATCATAAGTCCCGATTGTCATCTTGACTTTACAAAGGTTTGATAAAAAATCGGAGTTGTATAAAACTACAGGGGCCAATTAATAAACCTGACTTTGATACCACTTATTGTGATTCTCTGATCACGAAAAGAGAAGATAAAAGAGGAAAAACAATATATTTCTATCGTCAATAAAATTTACAATAGAGTTTTACAAACTCTCAACAAAATCTCATAAATCTCTCTAAGTAATCTCCTTTTTTCTATTTTCATCATGGGGTTAATTCTCTGCAAATGCATCCACTGTTTATAAGAAAATATTGCGGCCTAATGGAGAAGTCTTTCTCATTAAGGCCTTGTTTGGTCCACATTATTTTTTTTATTCTCATTATTCTACTCATTTTCAACCACACATTCTTCAATAAAATAATATTTTCCATCACATCAATAACTTTTCTTTCCTTTTCAACCACATTCCCCATCACATCAACGGTAAAAATGCATTCTTANGTTACTTTGCATCCGGCATTTGTTTGTATCTGAACATCACCAATTCCCACGATCTTAGAGGAACTTGTTTTTCCCATCTTCACTGCACCAAAGTCGCCAGCTTTATATGTTGTGACGAAATCTCTACGTGGAATGGCGTGGTAAGATGCTGCAATATCTATTACCTACTCAATATCTTGGTTTGAGATGTGAAGACATGTCTCTTCATGGATGGAACAAATAGCCACATCCCCAGAAATAGTGTCTCGTGTCTCTCCTTACTTATTTTTCGGATGTGAATTGTTGTGGCCTTGCTCTCGTAGTAATTTTCGATAGTTCTTCTTCAAGTGGCCTTCCATACCACAATAGTAGCACTTGTAGGTAGGCTTCCTTCCATTTGTGGATCTACCTCTGCTTTTGCTTCTACCTCTTCCCCTGCCTCGAACGCCTCCTTACCATCTTCCTCAATTCTCTGTGACAAGGGCATGTGACCGATTTATGTCAACGTCTTTTCTCCTGGCCTCTTCATTAAAGAGGGCATCCTTGACCATGGACATGGTAAGTTTGTCATTAGGGGCTGAGTTGCTAAGAGATACTACTAGTGTCTCCCAATTGTCAAGAAGAGAACTTAAAAGTAATAAGCATAATTATAAAACCCGGCTTGGACGGTTGGCCCGAACCTTTGACCTGGCCAGATAGATTAATTTAATCAAAATGCACTTGACTCGGTCAAAATCGGGCTTTGACCGAGTTAATCGGCGATTTACCAGGCCCGATTAATCGATTTGATTTAGTTTTAAAATTCTCTTACAATTTTTTAGGGTCCAACGGAATTGAACCTTGAACCTCTAAGGAAAATAATGGGTTCCTCACAATTTGAGATAGAGTGTTTTAGTATTACTTATGTGCAAATAGCTTATATCTATTTAATGAATAATTTATAGGTTTTACAAAAATATTTT